TGGATATTAGTCATTTGTCAGATAGTTTGTGAATATTTTCTCCCATTTTATATGTTGTCTATTTACCATATTGATTATTTCCCTTGCTGTGCAGAAACTTTTTAATTTAATTAAGTCCCATTTATTTATTTTGGTTGTTGCTGTATTTGCCTTTTTAGTCTTAGTCATAAATTGGTTGCCTAGGCCAATGTCTAGAAGAGTTCTTCCTACATTTTATTCTATAATTTTTATGCTTTCAGGTCTTACATTTCAGTCTTTAATCTATCTTGAGATAATTTTGCATACTGAGTTAATTTTTATGTGGTTTCACTCTTTTGCATATGGCTGTCCAATTTTCTCAGCACCATTTACTGAATAGTGTGTCCTTTCCCCAGTGTGTGTTCTGGTCTGCTTTGTTGAAAATCAGTTGATTGTAGCTAATATGGTTTTATTTCTGGATTCTTTATTCTGTTTCATTGGCTTGTGACTCTACCTTTATGCCAGTACCATGATGTTTTAGTTACTACAGACTTGTATAATTTGAAGTCAGGTAATGTGATGCCTCCAGATTTGTTCCTTTTGTATAATATTGCTTTGGCTATTGAGGCATTTTGGGGGGGAGTCCATAGGAAATTTATGATTAATTTACATAGATATGTGAAAAGTGATGTTGGTATTATGATGGGAATTGCAGTGAATCTGTCAATCATTTTGGGTAGTATGGACATTTTAACAATGTTAATCCTTCCAGTCCAGAAATGGGATGTTTTCCCATATGCTTGTGTCATCTATGATTTCTTTCATCAGTGCTTTGTAGTTCTCCTTGTAGAGATCTTTCACTTTCTTGGTTAAGTATTAATATATTCTTAGGTATTTAACTTTTATAGTGCTCAAATCTGTACCATTGGTTTTAACTTTTTTGGGTTTATAATAAGCCATGATATCTGATCATGTCTTTCAGCTTTGTTCACCTTCTTCAAGTTTCCTTTACCATTCTTGGCACTAGCATTTCTAAATGATTTTTAGAATAAATTTCACAATTTTTACTTGTAGTTAACCTACAGCTGAATTGAGTAAAAACAGATTTCTTTAAAATATTGAGTCTTCCAATGCATGGACATAGTTTATTGTTTGTTTAAGTCAGTCTTTTTAAGTACAAAATAATTAAAATTAGAAATTTAATAAGTAGATTATACATAAGTTTTGAGACAGTAGAAAAGAGAGTAATTTCTAGATACATTTCTTTTCTTAATTTTTTAAGAAGGTTTGTAAAAGCAGAACATATGCCTATACTGCAGAAATTATTCCACAACATTGAGAAGGGTGGTTAGAGATATTGAGTATTTTTTCATATGTTTCTTGGCCATTAGTCTATCTTCTCTTGGAAAGTTTCAGTTCATATCCTTTGCCCACTTTTTGATAGGGTTGTTTGATTTTTTTCTTGCTCATTTTCCTGAGTTCTATACAGATTCTAGTTATCATCCCTTTATTGGATGTGTAACATGTGAATATTTTCCCCATTCTGTCAGTTGTCTGTTTGCTCTCATGATAGTTTCCTTGGCTGTGCAGAAACTTTTTAATTTGACCATGTCCCATTTATGTATTTTTGTTATTGCTGTGATTGCTTTTGGAGTCTTCTTCATAAATTCTTTGCCTTGTCCAATGTCTATAAGAGTTTTTACGACATTTTCTTCTAGAATTCTAAGAGTTCCATGCCTTAAGTTTAAATCTGTTATCCACCATGAGTTTATTTTTGTGAGAGGTGAGAGGTGAGAGGTGTGGATCCTGTTTCAGTCTTCTATGTGTGGTTATTTTCCCAGCACCATTTACTGAATAAGGATTCTTTTCCCCAGTGTGTGTTTTTGTTTGCTTTTTCAAAGATTAGATGCTATATGAGGATGGTTTTATAGCTGGGTTCTCAGTTCTGTTCCATTGGTATATGTCTCTGTTCTTGTGCAAACCATGCTGTTTTAGTGACTATTGCCTTGTAGTATATAGTTTAAATTCTGGCAAACTGATGTCTCCCAATTTGTTCTTTTTGCTTAAGATTGCTTTTGCTATACAAGGTCTTCTCTGGTTCCATACAAAGTGATTAGGAATGCAAATCAAAATGAGATATCACTTATCTCCAGTGAGAATGGTTTTTATCAAAAAGTCTCAAAACAATAAATGTTGGCATGGATGTGTAGATATAGGAACACTCATACATTGCTGGTGTGTCTGCAAACTAGTACAATCTCTATGGAAAGTAATATGGAGATACCTAAAAGAACTACAAGTAGAACTACCCATTGATCCAGCAATCCCATTACTGGGCAACTATCCAAAGGAACAAAAGACAGTCTCTTAAAAAATCATCTGTACTTGAATGTTTATAGTAGCACAATTCACAATTGCAAAGATGTGGAAACAACCTAAGTGCCTATCAATACATGGGTGCATTAATAAAATGTGGTATATGTATACCATGGAGTTCTTTTTTTTTTTTTTTTTTTGAGTCAGAGTCTCACTCTGTTGCCCAGGCTAGAGTGCTGTGGTGTTAGCCTAGCTCACAGCAACCTCAAACTCCTGGGCTCAAGCAATCCTAATGCCTCAGCCTCCCAAGTAGTTGGGACTACAGGCATGTGCCACCATGCCCAGCTAATTTTTTCTATATATTCCTAGTTGGACGATTAATTTCTTTATATTTTTAGTAGAGACAGAGTCTCACTCTTGCTCAGGCTGGTTTTGAACTCCTGACCTTGAGCAATCCGCCTGCCTCAGCCTGTCTCGGCCTCCCAGAGTGCTAGAATTACAGGCGTTAGCCACTGTGCCCAGCCCATGGAGTTCTATTCAACCACAAAAAGACAATAGTGATATAGCACTTCTTGTATTATCCTGGATAGAGCTGGAACCCATTCTACTATGTGAAGTATCCCAAGAATGGAAAAATAAGCACCACATGTATTCACCATCAAATTGGTATTAACTAATCAACACTTAAGTGCATATATAGTAATAACATTCATTGGGGGTCAGACAGATGAGAAGGGGGTGAGGATGGGTATATACACACCTAATGGGTGCAGTGTGCACTGTCTAGGGGATGGACACACTTGAAGCTCTGACTCGGGTTGGGCAAGGACAATATACATAACCGAAACACTTGTACCCCCTTAATATACTGAAATAAAACATTTTTAAAATCTCAAAAATATTATCTAGATGATAGATTTTGTAGAAAATATGGAAGTATCATAATGTAAAGCCCCTAATAAAAAGAAACTTAAGGGAGAAAAATATTAGTGGATTATATACAGTAAAAAAAAGAGAAAGAAAATGTGATGAATGAGGTACTGTGGGAGAATGAGGATTAGATCAGAGGATCCCAATTTGGGTGGAGTTACAAAATTCTACAATAACTAGAAATAATCTGGTAAACTAGAGATTCAAAACTCAACTGGCCTTTCAGGAAGCATCTGCCAAGGAGAATCTTGAAGAAGGAAGACTACACACTGTGCAAATCCACTGCAGTTTAACTCAGAATGTTTGCTTCATTTGCTTTAATACTATTATTGTTCTCTACCTTTAAACAGAGGATAAAGCAAAGAAAATAAGTGATAAATGAAATGCCCTGACAGCCTGGTAAACCCAAGCTCCAAAGGGTCAGGGTTTTGCCTTCTTGATAAACCTGGGAATGTTCTGAAAAATGTCATCAGTTTCTAATATGCTATCCAGAAATATAGCAGATTTTAAAACTAGATTCAAAGCCTTCACAACCTTACACTCCATTCTAGAATCAGTTCTTTTCAAAGAAATCAATTCCCTCACATCTAAGTCTCTAAGACTTCTGGCTCTCTTCTTAGGCAGAGAAGGGCTCCACATTCTGACTGGTTGTAGAAAAGTAACATTGTAAAAAAGTAACATTTGACCTACGATCATATTTCACCCAATCTTCATCTGATGTCTAAAAATATCAGACCCAGTATGTTTTAATAATCGTATTGCTCCTACAGCTAAAGAACAAGGGATTAAGTCAGTTCCATGGGTAATATTTCTATTATCTCCAGCCAAAGTACTGTCAGCTGTTGGACTGATGATCTAGGAGACTTAGAATGCCAGGACTGTTCTCCGGCACTTTACGTATGATAAACTTTAACTTAGATAGCTTTCATAGAGATAGACACATAAATCATGAACAAAACTGTGAGACTCAAAATATAAATCTAGGCCGGGCGCGGTGGCTCACGCCTGTAATCCTAGCTCTCTGGGAGGCCGAGGCAGGTGGATTGCTCGAGGTCAGGAGTTCAAAACCAGCCTGAGCGAGACCCCATCTCTACTATAAATAGAAAGAAACTAATTGGCCAACTAATATATATAGAAAAAATTAGCCGGGCATGGTGGCTCATGCCTGTAGTCCCAGCTACTTGGGAGGCTGAGACAGAAGGATCCCTTGAGCCCAGGAGATTGAGGTTGCTGTGAGCTAGGCTGACGCCATGGCACTCACTCTAGCCTAGGCAACAGAGCGAAACTCTGTCTCAAAAAAAAAAAAAAAAAAAAAAAAATATATAAATCTAAGGAGATAATTCTAGAGAAGATTTCAGGATCCCACAAGTAAGCAGTCTCTAGCCTTGAGGGGCAGATTTCTTGTAAAGTGAAAGAGTAGGCTAAAGGTCCGGCTTGGTCACAGACTATATATCTGTTCATCCTTTTCACTCTCCTGTTCTCACCTATAAAGTGAGTAGTGAAGTGAGCTTGTCTGCTTCATCCACTGCTCTGTCCTCACTCATGAAACTTTCTGGCATATAAAAGATCTCAATAGATGTTTGTTGAATGTACAAATAAATCTCAAAAAGGCATTGAATCATGGTGGTGAACTCTGGAATCGGAAAGGCTTACTTTGAGTAACAGTCACTAGATACGCAGCCATGGATAAGCTTCGAGACCTCACCTGTTCCATTTTCCTCCTCTGAAATTGGGGTAAGAATAATAATGTCATACTGTAATAATAATAATTACTAAGATGAAGATTATATGTTTAAAAAGAGTTAGTGTAATGCAAACCCAAACATGTTAATTATTGTTTTTCCCTGGTGTGGGGAAGACAGCCAATGAACTTGAACTTCAAGAGAAAACTCCATGTGACTGGCTCCCCTTAGGCTTAAAGTATCACTAGCCTATGATGAGAGAGCAAGTTTCTGCCCTGGAGCCTGAAGACCTGTGCTTGCAGCTGCCTTCTCTTGCACAGGAGACTCCTGGGCTGGGATGAATAAACACTTCCTGTTGCTCTTCCCCCTGTGCTGCTTCATTGTGGGTGAGTCTCAGACCTGAAGAGGGGGCTCCGGTACAGGATCTGAGGAACTGGGGAAACTCTACATGTGTAGTGTGTGTCCATGAAGGGCTGAGCTTTGACCACATTTATAATGGAGGGAAATCAGTGGCCTATAGAAGCTTCCTCTGCCTTTTCTGCCAGCTCTCATGTCCTTCCAACATTCTGCTATTCCCTTTCAGGAGTGTAAGCCTGTACTGCTGCCCTTTTGTCCTGCTCCCCCTGACTCTGTCCCTACTAGTCCCCATGATTCAAAATCCTGGAAAGATTTTTCTTCAGACATCCTTTTCATTTGTAAGTCTATATCCCATTTACTGAGGGAACTGGCCAGTCTGGAATGAATAATTTTGTAGTTTGTTTTAGTGCCTGACAGGCTTTTGATACCCTTGTCAGAGACTTTACAACAAGTAATTCTTGGAGAAGTAATACTGAGTGCCCTGGAATAAAAGATATTTTTTAAAAATGTTTTTCAATCACTGTTTTAAATTGTACCGTTGGTTGCTAATTTGAGAAATGGGATCAATAATGCCCTCTTGCAAGGCTTTTGTGAAGATTAAATCAGATACAATTTGAGAGAGCATGGACCAAATGAGATTCTCAATAATTGCTAATTTCTTTTCTAATTTAGATACACCAGGTAGGATTTTTTTAAAAAAAGAATTAAACCTGTATTTTGAATAGCTACTCCACAGAACCTCATAAAGGTGTCACTGACTGTACTGTGTGATTCATGAGGCTTAACATAGATTTAATTTAGTCTGAAGCTCAAAATAACAGAATGTATCACCTAATAATATCCAAGCAGCAATATTCAACACAAGACAAAGCCAAATGTCAGAAGTCCCATAATAGTAACACTAGCTTGGGTAAAATATTTTAAAGTACTCACCCACTCTTCTTATCACATTCATGTCTCTCTACAACCCTGCCAGGTAGGTCAGGCCAGCAGCATTCACAGCACCATTTTTAAGCTAGAGAAACCAACAATATGGAGGCAAAGTTTTTGCTCAAAGTTATCCATGTTAAAAAGGCTGAAGTTGAGAACAGAATCCTTTCATTTACAAGGTGGCATTTTATTCTCATTGCTCTGGAATTGAGAGCTCCATCACAAGCTCTCCATGCACCCCACCACCACCCCAGTCTGGATATTTCCAGCTCTACCCCAACTTTCTGCCTCTGTCTAGCCTGACACTGCCTTGTTCTCTCTCTAGCAGTGACATCACTTAGGTGCATAACATGTCACCTTCGCACACGGACAGACCACTGCAGAAGAGGCTTTGGTGTCTGTATTGCTCAGAAGCACGAGACATGCATGGTATTAAAAATCTTTCAGGGTAAGTTAGAGGGTCAGGGGAGATAGTGTGAAATTTTAAGAATTCTTAGGAGCATGTTTCAATAAACTTACATCTCAGGAGAAAAAGTGGAGAACGCCCCTCAGCACAGGTAGTACAGGTCCCTGAACATGCAGACAGAAGGAAAAAGGTGTGAATTCTATATTTCCAAGAAAACTAACCAAATACATTTTTATCGACACATAATAATTATATGTATTTATGGGATATGTATATTTTAATACATGCATACAATGTGTAATGATCAAATCAGGTAATTAGAATATCCATCACTTCAAAATCATTTATCATTTCTTTGTGTTTAGAACATTTTATATCTTCTAGCTATTTTGAAATATACAATAAAGAAAATGTGATATATATATACACAATGGAATATTATTCAGCCATAAAAAGAAGGAAATCCTGTCATTTGCAAAAATATGGATGGACATCATGTTAAATAAAATAAGCCAGGCACAGAAAGATAAATGTCACATGCTCCCACAGTTATGTGGGAGTTAAAATAACAGTTGAAGTAGATAGTAGAATGGCTATTACCAAAGGCTAGAGGAGGGGAGGATGAAGAGAGGTTGGTTAATGACCAGACTTTGCTTTGACTTTGAAGACATGCATGCAAGCAGTAGTTTCCAATCTTCTGCACAAAGAGTTAAGGGTTGTTGGGGACCTCAGGCCAACAACCCCTACACCTGGCCAGCAAGTTCTGCATTTCCCTGCCTAGGTATACCTATCCTGATGCCTGATTACATTTTCATTGACAGAATTAGTGCCAGGTTTGATTCATCTTGGAGAACTTAGATAATGGCTTATTTTCTATGGTTCTTTTATTTCAGATGATGCTCTCCAGATATCATATATGGTGTGTCAGAAATTCTGCAGAGACTTGACATTAGATCTCAATAATCGAATTTATGTTCATCAATGCTGCAACTACGATTATTGTAACTTCAAACTCTAAGCTATTTGCCCTCCTGAGGTCTCACTTGGAAATGTCACTGATGTTTCTCACCCTTCACACTCTGCCTACCCTTGCTTTCTTCCTCTGTCTGTCCTGACAATATCCCTGCTCTCTCCTTAATTGTCATCCTTCCTTCTGCCTTCAGCTTGGCTCCTCCCTTGGTCAGGGAATAATGGTTCTGAACAGTGAATTTCTTCTATTACAGGGATTATTAGCATTTCCATACTTCAAGAAGCCTGGCTGAAGAGGCTTTATATAGTAAAATTTAAAACAGGGCCATGCTAGAACCTTATAGTTAGAAGATTAAGGTGGACTAGAAAGACTTCAGCTAAAAGTTCACAAATATTTTTATCTAAAATCCCCATGTATCACTACAATGACTTAGCAGAAATAACAACAAAGTGAATGGTGAATACTGAAGATTTTCCTCTATAGACACAAAGTTATTTATACCAGCAGACAGTGCCCACTTAAGACTCAGTCATTGTGATTTTCTGGACATTTACATAGTACTTCCTTACACATGCTAGGAGATAGGCCCCTGTGACATTCTTAGCTCACACACAGCCACTGCTATTCCTGTCAAGACACATTCAAGGTGCATCACAGCTCTCCTTTCTTCCCCTTCCTTTCCTAAGGCTTCTATCTTGCTTTAATCCTTTGCCATTCATCCCCTCTATTTCCTCCTCACCTCCACTGTCACCTCCCCATTGCCACACAGACTCTCCTCTAGAAGCAGGATGCCCTTCAATGCCCTGCCCCATATATCACAGGGCCCCCGAGGTATATTACCCAGGCCAGACAGCCTTTCAGGATCCCTCAGCTGTAGTGAAAAGTGGGACATGCACAGTCAACATTTCATCTGCCGTGGGCAGCTTTTTTGGGTCTTGGGGAACCACCTTACAATAGATCCAAGACTCCTCCTATTCTTTGCTGCCCATCTGCAAATAATAAAGCCATGTTCCATAACTTGTGTGTGTGTACTCTGCCTCACTGGACTCAGACAGCTAGGTAACCAGTGCATAGCAGACCTAAACAGGAGCCCAGGATACTATGGGCAGAAGTATGTGAACTCCTGTTCCTGGTGGTGGCAGGTGATGATCTTTGCTGTTTTCCATGCAGAAGACGTTCTCACTTGGGATTGGTGATTAGCATCACACTCTATCTCCATAGACTAACTTTGCCTGTTCTTCAACTAATTATAAATGAAACCGCACAGAAGGTATTCTCTTGAATCCAGCTTCTTTCACTCGCCATAATATTTTTAAGAGTTATGCATGTTGTCGCTAATATCAAAGTTTATTCTTTTTTATTTCATTGTATGCATATACTACAATTTATTAAACCCCGTCTCTTAGTCTGGTATTATTGTATTTCTCCTTTCACTTCAGTTGATATTTTTAAAATATATTTATGTACTCCATTGTTGAGTACATATATATTTACAACTGTTATATTTACAATTATTATATCCTCTTGATGAATTTGCCCCTTTATTATTATATAGTGAACTTTTTTGTCTCTTATGATAGTCTTTGATTTAAAGTCTACTTTTTCTGATGTATGCACCATGTTCTCTTTTAGTTACCATTTGCATAGTATATCTTTTTCCATCCCTTCACTACCAGGCTATGTGCGTCCTTAAAACTAAAGTGAATCTCTTATAGGCAGCATACAGTTGTATCTTAGTGGTTTTAAATCCCTTCAGGTACTGTCTTTTGATTAAATCAGAAGATTTAGTCAATTTACACTTAAAGTGATAACAGGCAAAGAGTTACTTCTGTCATTTTCTTCATTGTTTTCTAACTGTTTTTAGATCCATTGTTCCTTTCTTACTCTTTTGTTTTCTTCCTTCATGATGTGATGATTTTTTTGTAGTGTTATGCCTTGATCCCCTTCTCTTTATATTTTGTGTTTCTACTATAGGTTTTTTTCTTTCTGGTTACCGTGAGACTTATATAAAACATCTTATAGTTATAACAGTATATTTTAAGCAGATAAGTTAAATTGCATACCATAGCTCTACATTTTAACTTTTTCTTTCTCCACATTGTACTTTATTGATGTCACAATTTACATCTTTTATATATTGTTTATTCCTTACAAATTCTTGTAGCTATCATTATTTTTAATATTTTTGTCTTTTAACTTTTTATAAGAATTAAAACTGATTTACACACCACCAATACAGTGTTAAGGTATTCTGATTTTACTATATTCCTGCCTTTACAGTGAGTTTTTTTATCATTTTTTTTATTTTTTTTTTATTTTGGCATATTATGGGGGTACAGATTTTAAGGTTTCAATAAATGCCCATTTCCCCCCCCCCAAAAGTCTGAGTCTGCAGCACAATCCACCCCCAGATGGTGCACATATCACTCATTATATGTGTATACACCCACCCACCTCCCCCCACCCACCTGCCCAATAACCTATTACTGTAGTCCCTATGTGTCCACTTAGGTGCTGCTCAGTTAAAACCAATTTGCTGGTGAGTATATGTGGTGCTTGTTTTTCCATTCTTGGGAAACTTCACTTAATAGTATGGGTTCCAGCTCTAACCAGGAAAATATAAGATGTGCTATATCACTATTGTTTCTTAGAGCTGAATAGTACTCCACGGTATACATATACCACATTTAATTAATCCATTCTTGGATTGATGAGAACTTGGGCTGTGTCCACAGCCTTGCAATTATGAATTGTGCTGCTATAAACATTCGACAGCAGGTGTCTTTTTTGTAGAGTGTCATTGGATCTTTTGGGTAGATGCCCAGCATAGGGATTGCTGGATCATATGGTAGATTCACTTCTATCTCTTTAAGGTATCTACATATTACTTTCCACAGAGATTGAATTAATTTGCAGTCCCACCAGCAGTGTAGGAGTGTTCCTCTCTCTCCGCATTCATGCCAGCATTTATTGTTTTGAGACATTTTTATAAATGCCATTCTCACTGGAGTTAAGTGATATTTCATTGTGGTTTTGATTGACATTTCCCTGATGATTAGAGATGTTGAGCAGTTTTTCATATGTTTGTTGGCCATTCTTGTGTCTTCTTTAGAAATGTTTCTGTTCAAATCCTTTGCCCACTTTTTAATACGGTTATTTGATTTTTTTTCTTGCTGATTTTTGTGAGTTCTAAGTATATTCTAGTTATCAGTTCCTTATAGGATGCGAAGGACGCAAATATGTTCTCCCATTCTATAGGTTGTCTATTTACTTTCATGACTATTTCTTTGGTTGTGCAGAAGCTTTGTAGTTTGATCATGTCCCATATATTTATTTTTTGTTGCTGCTGTGATTGCCTTTGGGGACTTCTTCATAAACTCTTTGCCTAGGCCAATGTCTAGGAGAGTGTTTCCAACTTTTTCCTCTAGAATTCTAATAGTTTTATACCTTAGGTGTAAGTTTGTTATCCAGCATGAGTTGATTTTTGTGAGAGATGAAAGGTGTGGGTCCTGCTTTAGCCTTCTACAGGTGGCTATCCAGTTTTCTCAGCACGATTTATTGAAAAGGGATTCTTTTCCCGAGCATATGTTTCTGTCTGCTTTGTCAAACATTAGATGGCTATATGAGGATGGTTTTATATCAGGATTCTCAGATCTGTTCCACTGGTCAATATTCCTCTTTTTGTGCCAATACCATATTGATTTAATTACTACAGCTTTGTAGTATAGTTTGATATCTGGCATATTAATGCCTCCCATTTTGTTTTTGTTGCCTAGAATTGCTGTTAAAACGCGGCGGGGGGGCGGGAGAGTAGAGGTATTGAAAGAGTAGGGTTTCTATATGCTTGTGAAAGGAGAGCTTGAGTGGGATCTGGTTAAGTCGATTGCATTGATCTGTAGATCGGAGTTTTGGGTTGCGGTCGTTTAGTATAGACGATCTGGGGAGTGGTGGAGCGAGGTGCAGGTCGTGGCGGATCCGAGCATGTATGATTTCCAATCTGCGTTTACATTGCTGTATCTCCTCAGTTTCATATTTTCTCCCGTTAGAGGTTTTTGCGCCTTGGTTAAGTATATTCCTAGTACTTTTAATTTCTGTTGTGCGATTGAGAAGGGAATTGGTCGCGCTTTAATTTGGTTGCTCAGATTAATTGTGTGTGCATATATTGAAGCTTGATTCTGATGATTCTGGGGTTTCTGAGACTTACTAGATTCATTGATCAGTTGTCCAGGAGTGTCTTCGGGTGGAAGGCTTCTGTTCGGTTTGGTCTAGGATGACAATGGGTCCACATCATCGGCAAGAACAGGGAAGTGTTGGGGATCGGCTTCGTTGGCCGCGGGCGTTTGGGGCATACCGTGTTGGGTTCCAGTTTTTCTTCTGTGTTTATTGCTGTGTGCAGGCCACAGGACGGACTGTCCGGAGCGAGCCTCCATGTTGAACAGAAGGGGATGATAGTGCAGCGTTGTTCTGGGTTCAGTTTCGATAAGTGAATGGATCAACTTCCCCATTTGAGTATGGATGTTAGCTATGGCTTCATATATGTCTTTATCATTATAGGTATGTCCCTTTCTAGCCTGTTTTCTTAAGGTGGCGTATCAGGAAAGGTGTGAAGTTTTTGTGCAAAAGCTTGTTTCGCCGGGCTGAGGTATTGAAAAGAATCATTGTGGCGGGTCCGGTTTTTTTGTCTGTCTTTATGTGGTGAATTGATTTGATAGGAATTGGCAGGGGTGGAGGTTGAACCATCCCTGCAATCCCTGGGGATGAGACAAGGCGGCCACGTGGTCAGGTGGATTATCTTGTGGGTTGATAAGCGTCTGAAGATGGCGGATAAGCTGAAGAAGTTGTGAAAAAGTTCTGCAGATTATGTCTCATGGTAGGGATAAGTTGGCTCTGTAGGAGTCTTTCTTTTTTGTGGGATTCCTTTCGCTTGGTTTTTGTTGCACAGTTAATATTCGCTTCATTAAAACGGGTGTCGGAGTTTCGTCCGATTGTTGTGAATAGTGTCTGCAAGAGTATTATATTCCTTTAGTAAGTGTGGTAAAATCAGGTGTGAAGCCATCCTGACCGGGCTTGCTTTTTAGGAGATTTTAATTGCTGTTTCTACTTCAGCTGTTGAAGATGTCTGTTCAGCATCGTTTCTCTTCCGGTGCCTTAGGACTGTGTGTTCTAGAAAGTTTGTCCAGTTCCTCCAACATTTTTCCAGTTGTGGCATAAGATTTTGATATCCTAGTTAAACGTTCATTCTTGGCTCTCTTTGGGATCAGTTGTGAGTATCTCCTTTGTGGTGTCCCTGATGAGCTTTTAGAATTTCTTTTCTTGCTTTTCATTATATCACATTGTGTGTTTCCAAATTTTGTTATGTTTTTCAAAAGAACCAATTTGTTTTATTAATCTCCTGAATAGCTTTCCTGTTTTCAATTTCTTTATTCTAATGTTTTGGATTCTTGTGTATTCACTTCTTCTGCTGTTTGGGGTTTGGTCTTCTTCTTTTCCAGCTCTTTGGAAGTCGTTTCATTAGATTGTCTTATTTGTGACTTTGCTGCTTTTGGTGTAGGCCAGTCATTGGAGATTAAACTTTCCTCTCAGAACCCTGCTTATATGTGTCCCATAGGTTGATAATTGTCTCCCATTGTCGGTTCTTCATAGAATTTTTATTTCCATCTTACTGTTTCTTCATTGACTGAAGTAATCATTACTAGGAGGTTGTTTAATTTCCACGTTTCTTGTTAGAAATGTGAGTTCTGTTAGATTGAGTTTTAAACTTTTATTCCACTATGTGATTAAAAGAAGACATGATGTGATTTACTTGTAAATGTCTTTAGGATGGGTTACTTGGTGCCTAGGATAGTGGTCAATCGTTAGAGGAAGGGGGTGCCCTGAGCTGATGAGAAGAGACATATTCAGTGGATTTGTAGAACAGGAATGTCCTGGTAAATGTAGTGCAGAACCCAATTGTCTCTAGAGTTTCTGGTAAGTGTCGAGGTATTCTGGTATTAATTTCTGTTTGGGGATCTTTCTCGTTGCGACAGTTGGGGTTGAAATCTCTGGGGATATGAGTGGCTAGGCTAGATCCATTGCTTAGCTCCAAACTAAGAGTTGCTTAGAATCGTTGTGCGCAAGCCGTGAGGTTAGGTGGCGATAGGTATATTAAAATTGATTATCCTGCTGTTGAACTGTGCCCTTCATTCAGTTATATAAATGACCCTCTTGTTCACTTACTTTGTTGCTCTTTACAACAAATCATCAGAAATTAAAGAGGCGTCCACTGGCCACGCGCGACTTGCTTTTGCTTCCACGGTGCCTGGAATCTGATCGTCCCACCCGTTACTTTTAAGTTCTATAGTGCGATCCTTGCAGCGTTAAGATGTGGGTTTCCTGAAGAGCGCGATCATATGGTACTGTGCCTGTATTGTTTCGTTATCCAATT